ATAGAAATATGAAACGGTCATATGCAATAATAGAAACCCAACTAAGAGTCGGGGTTAAATCCACATGGAGCTAAGATGGGAGTTAGGGGTATATATTTTAATTTGCATAATTGGATTATCTAGATTGCACTTCCACAATAAGGATTTGTTTTTTATTTCTAATGTTACTCTAATGATTGCAAAATAAAGAAAGAAGACTAAAGATTGTTGTTTTTAAGGTTTTTCCTAATGGATAAAAAGCCTAGGGCTGTGACCATGACCTGAGTGTCTGCCTAATGGGATAAAGACTTTAATGCTTGTTTTGTCGATTGAGGTGTATTATAGCTCTCAACTCTAAATTACCCACTCAATACCTCTCGGTCAAAGAGTGGTTTTGCCCAATTTGGCTTTCTCAAGACCAAATGGGTATCACCCAAAATAATTGATAAGAGCTCAAGTCGGGTTATTGCTATCTCTAGGTCGAACCCTTTAATCGGGTTAATCAATCTCTCAATTGACCCAATTCCTTGTTATCCTAGACTAGGTCCCTCTTTCTCAAGTAGAGACTAAGTCAAATAGGCATGAATCAATGTTTGCAACCATTAATTCTAAAATTGAATTATGAACTAAGCTAAATAATGAACACCCAATTATAAATAAGTATAAAATTAATCACCCATAAGGTTTACACATCAGGGTTGGGTCACAACCCTAGTAAAAATCTAGCTACTCATTATGGGATTTAAAACAAATAAAGATGAAAAGCTAATTAAACTCATAATAGAAGATTAAATGATGAAATCTAATGTTAAAATACTCAAATAAGCTAAAACTACCTAAAATAGTAAAGATAAACGGCTACAACAACTTTCTATGTTCAAACATGACCTAATTTTATGAAACTCATTTATTTATACAAGGCTGAAAAATTCGGACAAAAATTCCCCTCAGGAGGTTTTGTGGCCATATAATTCCATGTGCGGTCTGTAGATTTTTTTATCTGGTAGGAATTCGAGTTTTGTGGCCGCATATTTCTGACTACGTCCGCGAGGCATTCTTCTGCAGACGCACATTTCTAGACTGCGGCCGCAAGGCAACACTTCTGTGGTCCGCACAATTAGGACTGCGGTCGCAAGGCACTCTTCTTGCGGCCGCACAAATCTTGTGCGGTCCGTAATTCACAGAAGATCCTGGACTTGGTCTTTTTGCATACTCTCTGATCTTGAACTCTTAGCCCAGCTTTGCGGCCGCACTTTGCGCAAATGTCTGCTAGATTTTTTCTCTTTGTTTGCGGCCGTAGATGGAATTCTGCGGTCCGCAATTTCTTCTACGTCCGCAGAATTCCTTCTGCGGACCGCACATTTGTGCTTCTGCGCCCTTTATTGCTTTGTGCTTCGGACTACTCCTTTTTTAGTCAGATTTCATCTTGGGAGACCAACTTTCAGCATTCCTACAACTTTTGCATAATTTCATTAGTTTCGGAAATACAATTCAATGCTTTTAGACTAAAACTAAAGCTAAAAGACGCTAATAAACAGTCATTATCCCCACTTATCAGGGACCTTAATCGAGTTCCCACTCATGATGGAAAGAAGTACTTTCTGACTCTTGTAGATGATTATTCTGGATATTCTTGGATATTTATATTACCTACTAAGGCAAAAGTGATTGTTGCTCTTACATCTTTTCTTTCTATGATTCAGAATGTCTATTTCACTTTTGTGAAGGCCTTTAGATCACATAATAACACTGAATTCTTTAACTCTCAAGTAGCTGAGTCGTTACAAATTAAAGAAATTATTCATCAAAGTGCTTGCATATACACTCCATAGCATAATGGAATAGCAGAGAGGAGACACATGTACATTTTAGAAGTTGCCAGATCACTAAAGTTTCAAGTAGTTGTTCCTATTAGGTTTTGGAGTGAATGTGCCACTATTGCTGTGTACATCATAAATAGACTGCTTCAGCTGTGCTCAAAGAAAAATCTCCTTTTGAAGCTTTAGTTGGTCATGCTCCTTCATTGGATCATATCAGAGTGTTTGGGTTCCTAGGCTATGTCACTGATGTGAGAAAATCTGATAAATTTGCTCTTAGAGCAGTTTCAACTATCTTTCTAGGCTATTCTGTGACACGAAAGGGTTACAAAATATATGATATTCATTCTAAGGACTTCACTGTCAGTAGAGATATAGTGCTTAAGAAAGATGTGTTTTCTTTCAAATATGCTCATAAGACTACCTCTTCTATATTTCATGTGTTGGATATCTCTCCTAAACTTCTCTCTAGTTCTGTAGACAAATCACCATCTCACCCTACTTCTACCACTGATGCTTCAACTGTTGATGAAGCACCTCACAATAACATAGGAAGTGAACTGTAACAGATATTGAGGATGATTTAGTTGCTGATGATGTTGATGGCTCAGTGATTAAAAAAGCTGAACCTACATCCTCAACATTGCCTAACTGAGCCTACTATCAGTAGGAAATCTAGCAGGGACAACACTCCACCTATCTGGATAAGAGACTATGTCACTCACAACAAAGGGAAGACACATTGTTGTTACCCTAGCTCTAATTGTGTTTGCTATGCTAATATTTCCCCCTCATTTGGCAGTGCTTTGGCAGCCTATTTTGCCATTGTTGAACCTAAAACATTTGTTGAAGTTGTCAAGGATGTGGATAGATGCAATAAAAAGTGAAATCTTGGCTCTAGAAGAAAACAACACTTGGAGTATAGTTGCTTTGCCTCCAGGGAAGGTGCCCATTGGCTACAAATGGATCTTTGAAGTTAAATACACTTCTTCAGGAGAGGTTGAGAGGTATAAGGCCAGGCTTGTAGCCAAAGTCTATAGTCAACATGAGGGATTGGACTACACTGAAACTTTCTCTCATGTGGCAAAAATGGTCACAGTGAGGTCTGTTCTAGCCATAGCTGCTACCCAACATTGTATATCTATCAGATGGATGCCTACAATGCTTTTTTACATGGAGAGCTTCTAGAGGAGGTCTACATGGAAGTTCCACCTGGGTTTGCCAGCCAGGGAGGGAAGCAAGTGGCTTGCAAACTTCATAAATCCTTGTATGGTCTCAAGTAAGCCCCTAGATAGTGGAACAAGAAACTTACAAATGCACTGGTTCAACTTGGATTTACCAAAGCCATTTTCACTATGCATTATTCACAAAAAAGTGCAGACAGAGTTGGTGGTAGTGTTAGTTTATGTTAATGATCTTTTGGTGACAGGAAGCAGTCCAAATTTGATCTTACAAACTAGAAATGATTTAAAGTTCAAGTTCAATATGAAGGATTTAGGTGAACTTAAATTCTTTCTGGAATAGAGTTTGCCAAATCAAAGCAAGGGATTGTGATGAGTGAAAGAAAATATGCATTGGAATTAATAGCTAAACTTGGAGTTGGTGGTGCCAAACCTGCTAGTACACCCTTGGAGACCAGCTCCTAACTTACTTATGTTGAATTTGACAGTTTCATGAACAAGGATCCTTCAAATGCAGCTGCTGCAGAAGACAATGAACTAGAGAATGCTGGGCCTTATCAGAGGCTGATAGGTAGACTCCTGCATCTCACCATGGCTAGAATTAATATTGCATATGTAGTGCAGGTACTCAGCTAGTTTATGCACAGACCTATGCAGTCTCATATGGAAGCTGTTTTAAGGGCAGTCAGGTACATCAAGGCAACTCCAGGTCTTGGACTGTTGATCTCCTCAGAAGGTCCAGGGAGACTTGAAGCCTATTGTGACTCCGATTGGGGTGGATGCCTACAAACTAGAAGGTCTGTTACAAGATATGTAGTTAAGTTTGGTGATGCACTAGTATCCCGAAATTCTAAGAAGCAGGAAACAGTTGCTAAAAGGTCTACTGAAGCAGAGTTTAGAAGCTTGGCTTCAACAGTTGCAGAATTAACTTGGCTTATAGAGTTGTTCTTAGAGTTAGGACTGGAGTTATCTTTGCTTATAGACCTGCACTATGATAGCGAAGCTGCAATTCAAATTGTAGCTAATCTCATATTTCATGAAAGAACCAAACATATTGACATTGACTGTCACTTTGTGAGGAAAAAAATTGTACGAGGTTTGATCAGAACTCATCATGTGTCTACCAAAGAGCAACAAGCTAATTTGCCGACTAAGAGTCTAGGGAAAGTGCAACATGACTATTTGATGTCCAAGTTGAGGTTGAAGGACTTGTTTCAACCATCAGCTTGATGAAGGGTTTGAAGTATTCAACAGTGAAGCTCTAGGATGTACAGTTGTATGCCGGGTAAGCTAAGTTAGTGGTGTCACTAGTTAGTTAAGTAGGTGGTTAGTGGTTAACTTATTTGTATATAAATACATAAGTGTACAGTGTATTAACTACCTTTAATAGAAATGAAAGCTGACTTTCTCTTTCACAAGCTCATATCTGTTTTTTTTTCTCCATTTTAGCTTAGCAGCTCAATTTAGATCTAGGATTTCATCAATACCATGATTATTTTATCTAATACATCAAACCAAACGAGTCCTTTGCCTAGTGCCTTGATGCCCCATGCCATGACTACTCATATTGACGTAAGTTGGGTAGCCAATTTCTCTTCACTACTCTCGACTCTTTTGCATAGTCTTTTGCCTTATATAAATAAGTAATTGTTACACAACAATCTCTTCATTATTAATCTATCAGTCCTTTATCATTAATCAGCTCATAATAATTTACTTATTATTAATCACCGTATAGATAATATCCGCATTATACTCGCATAACTTGCACCAAATGATCCCTCAAAATCTTAATAGATGTCACAAAATTTGTTGGTAGTGGACCTCCAAATTAATGCTACTTAGTGAACCTTCTTAATTCCGATATAAAAAGAGAATAAAAATCATTTTCCACTTCATTTTGAAAATAGGAACATATAAAACAATCAGAACTAAATACTATAGGCCAATAAAAAGGAAGAAAAACAATTTAAATCTTTTACTTGGAATATTAGGAATATAAAACTCAAAATATTAGTAGTGTGAAAACCATAAACAGAGAAATTTTGTAATAACCCATACGAACATTGCTAGTAGTGTTCCCATCCTCTCTTCTCGTAATAATTCGAATTCCTTCCGATCGCCGGCCGTCGTATTGCCGCCGGCACATTCATCTCTTCGGAATCTCCGCTCCACCGATGCAAGCGTAGGAGAGCTGCAAAAATACACACGCACAGAGGCACACACAGAATCAACATTTGATCGATTGAGAAAGATAGATAGATAGAGAGAGAGAGAAAGCAGCGAAGGAGACGAAAGGGAAGGATGATAACGAGATCAAAACTAGCAGAGCAGCTGAGAGAGTATCAGATTAGATCAAAACACGATTGGGCTTCCGTCTCTTTCTTCTCCTCTACCTCTAACTTAACATCCACAAGGTATCATTCCATTTCCAATTAGGGCTACGTTTTCCTTATCCTATATTTCTTTTAGCTTCATTTTCCTTATCCTATGATTTTTTGCATAGTCTATGAGGTGTATATGGATAGATACGTCTGAGAATTGGATTTGATTTGATTAAATCCATTATTTGGAGGCCATTTTTATGTTTAATTGAGGATTATTATATGGAAGTTTAATTTTTTGGCATGATTAGTTGATTATTTTGGCTCGCCAAAGTTTTTTGGATGGTAAAAAATTGGGTCTTTTGACCCGCAACAGGGGCAAAAAACACTAGGTTATTTCTTCCTATCTGCCCAAGCCTTAGTGGGCAGAGTCCCGGACACCACCGTCATCAAAAAAGAAAAAAAAAGATTGGATCTTTTGAACGAGAGGAATATTATGAAGCTATTAGATATAGTCCAAGTAATTATTTGCCATAGAAGTTTTCTCATATGACTTGATTGATTGAGAGTTGCAGTTGATTTACAATCCAGTTTGACGAATCAGTAAAAGTATATTACACTATTTTTGTGTAATGTATGTCTCACATGAAAAACTACGAGTTCAGGAAGAATTTGAGCCATTTTGTGTAATGTATGTGTTAAATGAAAAACTAGGAATTCAAGAAGAATCCGAATCTTCAAATGCCAATTCAGGGAACCACGAAATTCTCTAAGAATGGCTCACAAAAGAAGAAGAATAAAAAAGATGAACTGATGTGTATTCGACAATGGTAAGCTGATTACAGTGGGTGATTTATACACTAAGAAGTTCACTAAACTGCTATTACCACTGCAGTTTCCCATTACCTCCCCTTCTTTGAATCTTTTGAATCTTCTTCTGGTTCCTCTTTCTTCATGTAGTAGCTTAAATTGTGTCCTTATTTCAATAATAACATTGCAGAAGCATTTGAGACTGAATGTGTCGGTTAGTTGATGCTCATTCCTCAATGAACATTTATCATTTTTTTGGTTGTAGTTTTATCAAGTCCTGCAACAGCTCCTTGGCACTAACAAGCTTCAATTCCTTCACTTGTCTTCTAAATCTAAAATCTTGAAAAATCCTCATTTTAATCCCCCACTAATGTAAATATCATCTCACCTCAGCAGTCAAATTTGTTCAAGAACTCCTGCTTATCCATACGTTAAGGAGTGACCAACTATATAGCTTTTCAACTTATTTAACTTCTCTCTTTCTAATTATATTTTCCCCCATGATGCTCAGCCTAGGAGGATATCTCAATGGTGTCTTCCAGTTATAGCCGCGTACACATGTTTACATACCTTGCAATTGGTTCTCTACCTTTCGCTGATCTTCTTACAATCCTTCAATTAATGTGATGTTGTTCTCCACCTATTCTGCATCCACTTTTTGAGTTCCTCTTCTATTAGCTGACTATTGAGTTCATTTGTTAGCTATTGGAGAATCAACTTATTCTCAATCAAAAAAACAAAAAAAAACAAAAAAAAAAATCGATGGGAAACAAGATATTTGGCAAGTAGGAGTACTGGTGCTAAATGTATAATATGTGTTTTATCAATCTAGATTTGCCCGTTTTTGTTAGTACTGTCTTCCACCAGGGAAACCTTTCGACATGATTCCCCACCTTAATTTATTGTATTTCCGCAAACTTAGGATAAGATAGATCACCTGTGGTGAAATATAACCGTATCAAATGCTTTTACATCTGTTGCAAAAAGTTCCTTATACTTGGTTGCTGTGGTAAATATGTTCACTTGACGAGGTGGTTTTTCTTTTTTCCCCTTCTTTCATCCTCATGAGAAGTTATTTTAGATTTTCGCTATTAAATCTGCAATATGGAATAAGACAAGTAATTGCATTCAATAGCCATTAAATCCGTACATTTTATGGTGCTTTCTAGCATGATCGTATTTGTCTATATGAAAAAGAAAAGGTAATGTATGTATTATCGTGTTAAGCTTGCCCCTGTTTTTAAACATTGCTTCTTCCACCTTGCAAATCTTTTCTCAAATCCTTTCCACTGGATGCATTGAGAAGTTGGCCAAGGTATAAGGGAGTTTCTCCACTGTGATTGAATACCTACTGACTAATATTAGGTACTACATGGTAGGTGGCATCCCACTCTTTTGAGGCTTTCCAATCATTAAGTACTATGCAATCATATCTAAGTACCTTTGAAATGCCATTTTGTCGTGGATTAGTAAAATGGCTCATAACATTTTGAGACTTCTCTACCTCTTTCTATTTTTATATTGTTGATAAGTTACCTCTTTTTAATTTTACCAAAAAATTATCTACTATTAACTGATCTTCAGAAAGAAAAAAACTGGCATGTTTAACGTATTTTAGGATTTGAATGAGCTATGACGCCTAGACATTGATGTGCCAGTTCTTCCCTTTTTCAATAGTTTCGAAAAGCAGGGATGACCTGTTTTTGGTAATAGAAGAAATTCGCACATCAAAATCTCAGAAGCAGGGATGAGTTATTAGTCATTTGTTTCGAGAGATTTATTCAAGGATATCAAATATATCAGTACATGTAGAGGCAGCAAATGCTGGATTGAGTGAAAATGTTAATAACCTACCTTTAACAATGGACTAGATGAAGACTTTGGTGAATGGATCCTTACTGCTTGGTCCTAGAGCTGTGTAGGTCTCTCAAACAAAACCTTTTGCAATTTCCTGTTATGGAGGATTATCATTGTCTACGCATCCTTACCACTTCTGGCAGTAACTTAGAATTTGTTTCTTCTGCGCTTTTCCTCTTATATAATTTTTTCTCTTTGTTGATGCAGGGTGGATGTCGTCATCTTTGTGATATGGGAACTGGTTGTTTTAGCATTCCTGGTTTTTTCTGCCGTTTCACTGTACTTCAGGCATCTAAGGCTTGCTTTTATTTTAGTATGTGTGACCTTGCTATTACTTTTGTGCATGAAAATAGCAAAGAAAGTAAGATCGGCCAGGAAAAAGAAACGAAGGATGCTTCTTCCATTATCCATGTAGAGAAGTAGGATGCGCGAATTCTTTTACAACGAGCAAAAAAACTTGTTTTTGTGTAAATTAGGAGAAATATCTTGCTGCTATTTTGGTTTTCTTTGTCTTTTTTTCTCTTTTAGCTCATATGGAAGTAGAGGGTAGTTACATGTTGTGGGATAATTTCACTATAGAGCTATTTCGTCCGCTCCCATACTGCAGGCGTTCCGGCTGGTGATGCTGTTTCTTGTTGGTTTCATCCTTCTCGTGTTATGAAATTTCCTCTACCTTGCTCTTTGTTACTTATATTCACTCTATTCCACCAGTTATCAGCATTAGATGCTGGTAGAAAGCGCTAATTGTTTCTAAATCCTGAATAAGTGACCCTAAAACTATGATTAACAAGCGAAAAAGAGGAGCACATGTATTTTCTACTTTCTCCTTTCTTCTTCACCAGGAAAATGAAAGATACTGCTGAAACTGCAATGCGATGATCGGAATAATGGAGATGAAGAAAAGACACCACGTTTTTGTACATTGATGAGAAATGTTTTCCACCTGCAATTTAGTAGTATAGTACTGCTTCATTTGTTTACTTTTACAGAGCTGTAATGCGTTTTTTTTTCAAGAATACGGAGAATTATTCCCTTCGTACAACAATACACTTAAGAAAGTTCTACCAAGTTAATAGAAGTCCAAGATTCAATGAGAGGACAAACTCTTCGATCAACAACGACCCAGTGAAATTTCACTAGTGGAATTTGGGGATGGTAGGGTGTATGCAGATCTTACCCCTATCCCGAGGGATAGAGAGGCTGTTTCCGATAGATCATCGGCTCAAGAAGATTTAAAGATGTAATATATCAGTACTTTCAATAAAAACTATAGAAAAAAAAATAACAGCATCACAATAACCAGAAAATAGATGAAAAACAAAACAATAACCGGTAGATAAAGCTCGGCACTAAGAGGAACGAAAGAGTAGTGTGAACTCAACATTAACCACTAGCACTCTAAGACTAAATCCTAACGGACTAGCCTCACTGGTGCGCCGTAGAAATATGCACAACTACCTCTTAACCTACAACCTTAATGCTCGACTTCCACAACTTCCTGTCAAGGGCCATGTCCTCGGTAATCTGAAGCCACGCCATGTCCTACCTGATCACCTCTCCCTAATACTTCTTAGGCCGCCCTCTACCTCTCCTCGTACCCACCAAAGCCAGCCGCTCACACCTCCTTACCGGGGCATCTGGACTTCTCCTCTGAACGTGTCCGAATCATCTGAGCCTTGCTTCACGCAGCTTGTCATCCATGGGGGCCACACCCGCCTTCTCCCGAATATCTTCATTCCTAATCTTATCTATCTTAGTGTGCCCGCACATCCATCTCAACATCCTCATTTCTACTACTTTTATCTTCTGGATATGTGAGTTCTTAACTGGCCAATACTCAGCCTCATACAACATGGTCGGTCTAACCATCGCTCTATAAAACTTATCTTTGAGTATCGGTGGTACTTTCTAGTCACACGAGACTCTAGACGCTAACCTCCGCTTGATCCACCCCACCCCTATACGGTGTAGGACAAACTCTTCAATCATTTATAAATATCAACAATGAATTTCAGCACACTTTATTCCATTATTAACAGAGTAACAACAGTTGCTTAAAACTCGAACCCGACATTCATACGTTTGATACACCAAGGAAGGATGAGTTTACTCTAGTGGCCATGATCACAAAATATGGCTGCTGAAAGTTATAGTTACAAGGGAAACTCCTAATCTCTTTTCTCAGAGTTTAGATGTTGCTAGCTTTATCAGATCCTTCCTAAGAATTTTGCCAGAAGGATTCTTGGGTATGGAAGCCACAAATGCAACTCTCCTGATTCTCTTGTATGGAGCCACCTACACAAACAAATGCGATAAATATGGCCTTCACTATAGATCTTAATACCAGAAATTAGTATGCAGTTTCAAGTCTTAGTTCGTATTATATAAATTACCTGTTTGGCAATAAAATCCATGACTGCGCTCTCTGACATAGTACTTCCAGATTTTCTTACTACATATGCCATAGGAAACTGTCCGACATCCTTATCCGGGAACCTTAAACACCACAAGATTTATGAAATGAGCATCAGAGATGGATAACTTCATACCCTCTGACTGATTAAAGAAGCCACTGAAAGAGTAAAGCATCAGAGAGCATGAATGGAAGTATACTCACGGTATAACAGCAGCATCAGAAATCTGTGGATGATTGAGCAACAAAGCCTCTAACTCTGCTGGAGGAACCTACAAGTTCATATGACAAGCGTTCAGACCGTAGTAATCATTAAGGAAATGCCAGAATCAGATATGCGCCCGAGGACTCAATAGAAAAGCCAACTATATATTGGAAGAATGAGAAACTCTGTTTCCTTTTACCTGATAACCCTTATATTTGATCAGCTCCTTCAATCTATCAACCACAAAAATGAAACCGTCCTCATCTATATAGCAAAGATCTCCAGTTCTTAACCATCCCTCTGAGTCTAGAGTTGAGGCAGTAGCTTCTTCATTACTGAAATAACCTGTGTTGTAGCGAGAACTCAATAAGTTAACGGATATTCCAGCAATAGAGAAACTTCAACATAATCGGGAATAAAGGCTATAACAATAGGTTTGCTTCCAATAAGGATTATAGAAGAATGTCAATGGATATCACTCTCACGAGCTTGCGGGTGATTCAACAGCAACAAGGATGAATTCATGGCTCTTAGAAGATTCAGACTACTGAGAAGTCCACAAGATCAATAATCTTGATGAATATTGATTGGTTTATTTATAATTAGAAAGAACAATTTTTAAATTTAAAGACTTTACAAGTTCCTTCATCGTTTTGTATGGCTAATACTGCTCATCTTATTATATGTTCACTAGTTCCTCTTTATACAATTTTGATAACATCTAAGATAGCTAAACATGATGCCCTTAACTACTAGTGGCAAAATGGATAAAAATAACTTTTAAAAAATAGGTCAAATGTGGATAAGATCCATATTATCCACTTAAAAAATGGATAACCAATGGGTTTAACTTTTACATTTGCAAAAGACCCAAATTGGGAGTTGTTCAAGTTTGAGATACTAGGAATTCTCCCAAAAGTGATCATATTCAAGAAGTCAGAGATAACATTGATATCCATTATCCACCGGTTACACCATTTTCTATTTGTATTAAATATAGGTCGGGTTGAATATTTAATCCATTTTTGCATTATCAGTTTTGACCCGCCCATATCCGACCCAACCCGCCCGTTTGACACCCCTAATGTCCTTAAAATAAGGTTCAACTTATTTCATAGCTGATGCATGATGGAATAAATAGTTTACACATAATTATTGATTATCCTTTTAATCAGTATCACGGAAATTAATTACAATATAGCAGCTAAAATCCTACATTAAGGTAAGTAAATGATGTTGTTTCTTACTCTAGGATAATACAAAGGATGGGGAAGCAGACTATTTTATGCCACGATGCTAGCTGAAAATTTATTAGTAATACAAAGTCTAAAAATTCTCAAAGAGAAAATCTAGACTGAAGAATAGGAAACATGTAGGATGCGATTATAATTTTAAAACCTATATGGAGCTGTCAGATATAAAATAATCAGACCGAAGATATAACATATTAGATATTGTATGCTGAGATGCAAAACGTGCAATTAATTTTTTCAGTTGTGATATCTAAAATCTAATACATAAGCAAAATATCAAACTAATTTCCAAATATTAAAAACATGTGAAAAACATTAAATCCTATAGGGTGATATTGAACTGACTTTACTTTTAATTTGATTGTATGTTCTGCACTAATTCTGGACAGGATTGCATAAAGTGACGCTTCAGTTGATGTCCCAAAAAAAAAAAAAAAGGAGAAAATGTTGAATATTTCTTCAGTCCCCATCTACTTTATTGGACCATCAACAACTAGATAGTGGAGCAGACAAAAAAAAATGCTAAGTTTATATTCATGAAGTGATCTAGTATTCAATAAAATAGATTAAGAACTATGACATCTCAAATGATTTATCTTTATCTGTCCAAGCTTACGTGGTCAGGGTTATCCGATACCTCCGGTGGCGGAGGCAAGATCTCCGCTAAGGTGGTTCAAAAAGAAAAAAGTTAAAAAACGATTGTAGCTAGTGGGAATTGAACTTATAACCTTACAAATATTTTGAACCCTCTTGACTACTAAACTATACTTTTGGGCTGTGTCAAGAGATACAAAACTTAATATATAGAGGTAAAAAATAGATTTTGTCTTATATATACAATGTAATTTTTCGAAAAAGGGGGTTCGGGTGAACCCCTTCCGGCCCCTAAATCCGCCCGTGTGCCTCGTGGAATTAATCAATATGTGTACATGCTAGTTCGGACACCACCGTTAAGAATTCATAATTACATTTTCTTAATGTATGGACCGGAAAAGTCTTACTCACCAGCCAGGGAGGACCTCTTTTAGCAGTGATTGCAGGTGCGTTATTATCAACTTAAATTATATGTAAATTGAAATTCTTTTAAAATATATTTTTGTACAAAGAATTCGGATCAATTAGTTTTTTGGCCTTTTTACAAACTTGTTTTTAGTTTTATGACCCTACCTCTTTTTTTTACACATGGGAGATTTACTTTTACACATAAAAAATTTTTCATTTACACATAAGAGATCTAAAAAAGATATTTTCTTAAATTCAACATTGTAAAAGGCCAAGAAGGCCTAAAACCTCAAAGAATTCCTCTCCGCTGTCACAAAAGAATATCATATTCCATCTTTTTCTGGATCTGCAATTATTCATGAGCTCTTAGTTACAACTTGAGATTAAATTGTGACCATCTCTTTCCATTCTTTCTTAAATAATGCCTTAATATGCTAAATTCCAAGTTGTCATTATTTCTTAAATAATGCCTTGAACTGCTGATTCCAACTTGTCACACTACTGTAACATCACTAAAAAATTACTAGGAAAGATGATTTATACAGATGTGGCCAACACAACTTTTCCATAGTATCATATTCAATTATTGCAAAAAATTAAATCAAAACGCCAAAAACATGTTTAAAAAAAATAAAAATAAAAACCATACCTTTCATAATGGTAGGTCCCCTTAGCCAAAGTTCGCCGGTCTTATTCACCGGCAACGCCTTCCCACTTTCCGGATCCACAATTTTTGCCGACATGCTCGGCGACAACATCCCCGCCGTCCCATATCTCCGGCTCTCTTCTAACGAATCCGTCGACGCCCC